CCATCTCAAAGCGCAAACCGCCGTTCTTGGGGACGTCAATGTCCATGTTTCTCTTCCCTCCTCCGTTGCTCTGAAACATTCCGATGTGCTTGTACACGTGGTGTGTATACAATTTTAAAGAGCTGCCGCTGGACACGTGACTGACATGCTTGAACACTTCCTTGCGAGCTTTTCCAAAGCCTGAAACGAAATAACTCCCTGGGTCAGTGCCTCGGTGAGGATTGTCTCCAACTTGGCCAGCTTTTCCTCCGTAAAAATCATCGATCCACGTGAGTACTGGAATGCCTTTTGTCCTTAAGTACCTCGACACCACAGCCGAAAAAGGGTGGTAAATGTATGACGAAGAGCACCACCCGAAGCACAGGGTCGTAAACACGAAGTATCTGCCACCCCACTTGAAGCCAAAGTATTGCCATGATTCCTTCGCCGAAGGTACATGGTGCAACCCCGACATGTGGTCGCACATCATCTGGAAAGCTCCTTTCCACGCGCATTGTGCCACCGTTCCTACCGCATCCATCTTGAAAGGATTGTTTCTACCCATCAGGTTGAGCCAACGTGCGTCTAACAATGCTCGTGGTTTGGACTCCTCCACTCCTAGCGGCATCACCATGTGCGGTTTGGGGTGGTGTGCAACGTCGGGTACTTCCTCCCATGGCGCTACCACTCCGCTCTGCACGTCCTTTTCCACCTGCCCATCGACGAAACCTCTGAACGCCTCCGGCGCATGGTTCGGGAGCTCCACGGGCGTCAACTCCGAACCTTTGTACCTCTGTCCTTGAAATTCTCCTTCGGTATCCGGGTTAATAAATTCTCTGATATCCACACCTCGTAACCATCTGAGGTACATATCCCGCTCTTCGTCGTTGCAGACTGTCAGAATCTCGTCCTGCCAAAACTGAATATGGTACGAGATGTGTCCTGGGACGAAATCTTCTTGGCGCCATACCGGAGCTTGGTCCGGCGTGATGGGAGGTTGTTCCTGCTGTAAAACGCCTGGTACAATGTCGACATCCGGGCGCTGAACGTGTCGCTCGCTGTTTCCGTCATCTCCAACGGAACCGATACGAATTTTCGCTACGCGTCGTTCTCGCTCTCGCAGAAAATCATCTGCCCCTGAGCCCACCTGTCATGCATGTCAGGCCTTTTTTCTTTTTTTTCATGCCTTGTTGTCCGCCTGACCGTGCTCGATCATGTCGCGAAATATTAACCATCTAGCGAGCCAAGCGCCCCTTGTCGACCAAAGTCCAAGCCAAGAAAGGGCAAGGTTCAGAGGTGTCTAAGATTCACTATGCCAGCACTTAAGCCTACGGGCTATCGTTAACATCGTGTGCACGACAAGGAATGTTGTCGCTTTTTGTTATGTGAACCACTGCGTGATGTGTCGCTATGCGGTGCATGCGTACAACGTACATCTCGTCGTGCACGACCTGCGTGCGTCGTGTGGTGTGGTGAGGTTCTCAGCACCTGCCCCTGCCCGACCTGTAGCCGATGGGGGCCTCTGTGGCTCGCAAGCTCCCGCATGCATTCTCGCATTCTCGCATTTTGCCTCATCATTCCTTTGTTTTTTTTTTGAACCGCCAAACAAACATAGAACCCGTGTCGTCGTGTACTACAACCATTGCATATCTTCGTCGTAATACCTGCCGACGTCATGCCTTGTACTTACTTCGGGCATTCACGCTTAACGTACCCCGGCATGCCGCACTTGAAACACGCCTGCTCCGGGCACGTCCTGAAAGAATGGTCAGCGGGCTTTCCCATCTGCGAGCATTTACTACAGACAGCGGCACCGCCTCTTCCTGCTCTGTTACCGACTCGGCCAACCCGACGGTTCCCGCCGAAACCACGACCGCCAAACCTATTGTCCAACGGCCCGTAGTGCCCGGGTCCTCCGAAACCCCTGTGCGTGGGCTGTGCGTACTGTTGCGGCACCGAGGGAAAAGCAGGTGCTACGGCATGGAACGCCGGCGCCAAAGAAAGTGGTTGCATGCCACCTGCCATCAAGCCTCCACTACCGCCGCCCAAGCCGCCCGAATTGGGCTTCTTGGTCAACCCTGCCTGCAAACGTGCCTCCTTCAACTTTTTGCGCAGAGCCGCGTAATCAACTGCGCTGCTTTTCCCCGATGGAGCCGCCAACTCTTCATACAGCGACAAGCATCCTACAATCGGGTTCTGTACCAACACAGAATGACCTATCATGGCCACCAACATGGCCGTGAACTCGCACTCCTTCTTGAATGTGGTCACCTCTTGACCTGCAAGCTTATCAAGCTCGCGAACCTCAGCGCTCATTTTGACTTTTCAGCGTGGCGCATCCCCCGGGCCCAATGGGCATCGCCCTTCCGAGGTCCGGAACGTACTCCATGATGCGCGAGAACCTAGTCGATCACTACGTGCCGCATAAATTACCAACCAGACAGGGCATGCGAAAAGAAAAAAGAAGTTATGTGACGTCATTGAACGTGCTGTGCAAGTGCGTCGTGCCCGGCTCAAAAGTATGTACCCCCCACCGGGGCTGTGCGTGTTCGTCCCTCGTGTTTGCACCGCTCGTGAATTGCGCCGTATTCCTATGACGAGCAACGACGCGAAACCTCGCCGTGTAATCCCTCGTATATATATATATGTGCTTCGACCAAATACGTGTGCATGCACGTGTGGTAACACGTCTCCCACATACCGCTGTGCGTAGGCGTGCGTGGGTCTCAATGTGCTGTGAGTTAGGTACTTTGTGTTGTTGTTGTTGTTGTTCCTCACATTAGCTCTATAGTCCACAAAAAATAGGGAGCCCGTGGTCTCAAAACCCGGCATATACGATGCCGCGGGCAAACAAAACAATAATAGGGTACAAACCACTCGGAAAAAGAAAACAAAATGATCAAAAAGGAAAGAACAGCTACCGCACCGACCGTTCGAGAAAAGAGCCCTCGGAAATCGATCAAAATAAAACAAAAACAAAAATAAAGGAGGACGCTGACCACACCCGCCCAAAGAAAAAATCAAAGGGTAACGTACCAGCACCAGGCACTACGCACCAGGGCATGGGAGTAACGGAGCAAACAGGACAAAGAGGCGGCAGATGGGCAGACAGCCAGACGTACAAAAACAAAGGCAACAGCAAAGCGAGATCAATGTACCCAACACAGCAGAGTAGGCAGGGAGGTCATGAAAAAAAAGAAACACAGCACAGAGGCCGAAGGCAATACAAAGGACATACATAAAGGAGTAAAGCATACAGCAAGGAGGGAAACGGGGCGCAACAACATCAGCCGGGTACATAGTTCGCCACAAGTGCTGCCTCGGCCGCCCTACTCGCTTCTACAGCAGTGCCCGGTCGCCGTTTCTTCCCCCCCACCGCCGCTTCCCCGGCTCTCCTTCTCATCGGTCCTGAGATGGCCGTACCCCCTGCTTCTGCTTCCCTCGCGCGCTGGCGCTTCGCGGACGCTTCCGCCTCCTGCCTGTGCCATTTCCTCATGAGCCATGCCGCCCCGCCCTCGACCTTGTTGTACCACTGCTTTGACGTCGACACGAGCGGCCATCAAGGTCTTCACGACAGGCAGGTGACCTCATGCGCTTGCAAAGATACGCGGAGTAAAGCCGTCGATTTCGCGTGCATCCTTTGCCGCTCCCGCGTCCAAGAGAACATCCACCATTTTGTCACGCCCTCCCGTGGCAGCGAAGTGGAGGGCAGTGGATCCGTCGGAGGTGCTGATGTTGACCTCGACACCCCCGACCAGTAAAGTCTCTACGACAGGCAGGTGACCTCCTGCGCTTGCAATAGTGAGCGGAGTGTGCCGTCGTTGCCTTGGACATCCTTATCCGCCCCCAAGTCCAAGAGGGCATCCACTATTTTGTCGTGCCCTTGAACGACAGCTCTATGGAGAGCAGATTATCCTCGGCGTCGGTATATTGACGGCGGCACGCTTAGCCAACAAGCTCTTGACGACAGGCAGTCGGCCAGAAAACGCTTAAAGCATCAGCGGGGTATCGCCCTTGTCGTTGCGTACATCCATGTCCGCTTCCGCTTTCAATAGATCACCCACTATCCCACCAAATCCCTTTGGGCAGCTCCGTAGAGGGCAGTTTTCCCCGCTGCGTTGGTGTGATTGGCATCGGCACTATTAATAGCGTCCAACAAAGCCTCCGCCACAGACCCGTGGCCACTGGAAGTGGCCGTCATGAGAGGCGTGAGGCCGCCTTCTATGGGGACATTTTTGTCAGCTCCCTACCTGTCCAAGAGCGCCACCACTATCGCCAAATCCTCCCTCTTGGTGGCAAGGTGGAGGGGTGGAGCTGGAGCATCGAATTCGATTACCCCTTTCAGGTACAGCAGTGTCAGGTTCTTCCGTAGCAGTGTCCGCTTTGACCTCTGGATGTCCTTCTACAGCCTATCGCGTTCACTCTAAGAACCGAAACATGAGACACAAGCGCAAAACGGTTTGATCAATATGAGTGGCTCTCTGCTGGCTTTTTTCTGAGGTCGACCGATGATGATATGCTCTGATGGAACGACTTTTCCCCAACACCCAACCAAACCATGGAAAAAGGTTTGAAAACATGCTTTAGACGCCACACATCCTCACACCTGCTTAGTGCGGACCATTGTTGAAGTTGATGTATGTTGGGGAGAGTGTCTTGAGCGCGCGGTTCCGAGAGGGGTTCGTGAGATCTGATGGACAACGATGGTCAAAAGGGTGGGGGCGAAAAGGACGAAAAGTTAGGATGTTGTGTGTTCACGTGCGTGCGTCGATCGGTCTCACTCCCAGTCTCATTCCCTGTCCGCGCGTACGGGGCGCCAGTGGCACTCTGTATCACACACTCACTCACCTTCCTTCGCGATACCGCGTGATCTGCCTGCTCGGTTGTGTGGGTGTGAACCCCGAGCGTGGGTATCCCGGGAACACATGAAGTTGCTGAAAATTCAATATTTGAAACTCCAACCATATCGGTACATTTATGTACGTTTCGAAGTAACTAAGAGCTATTTTCGTGTTAAAGTAAAGTTCCCACGCCCCCGTGCACGGGTCAAGTCACGCGCCGCACGCACGCATATATACGTTCACCTCTAAGACAAGTGTCACAGCTCTGTTCCAAGGTATCGCGCAATACGCAACCGCTCGGGAAAGGAAATCCCTGTGGAAGAAAAACACTAACGAGCCGGGAATGGTCCAGACCAACCACGAATCACGGACTATTTCCACCATAATTCGGGTTGATGAAGACAGTGCCCAAACCTGAGTTTTCACCCCATATTGCACAGAAACACTACACCTAGTGAGTCTCTCGCGGGCGAACCAGGCCACAACAGATAGTAGGTGGGTAGTGTCCCAAGGTGCAACTCACCGCCGCGCTGGCTCAGCGTGGCGGTGAGGATGCACAGACGGTGGTAGTGGCGAGAGGTGTGTATGGACACTGTTCCCGCGGCAGTAATGCAAAGCGGCAAACTGCACCTGGCAACCACCGTCGCGGAAAGCGTGGCCCACGAAGCTGGAGGAGTAGAGAGATTCGTAAACACCACGTCAGTAAGCACTGCTCGCGGGAGAAGGGAGACAACCGCGGGCACCGCGGGGAGGGAGTGCTGCACCCTCCTCGTCAAAACACCACAGGCAAGAACCGAGCTCTGCAGAGATGGATTGATGCGAGTAAATTCGCCGCTCGGAAAATACGGAAGAAAGCACACCCGCAACGCGAGGTGGACCGACAGAGACACGAGACCGCAGCGGCCGTCAAGGCGGCTGCGAAGAAGAAGGCACGAGAGGGCGACCTATCGTTCGGTATGTTCAACGTACGCACGCTCGCCTACAGTGGTAGGAACCTCATCGGTCACAACGTGATGACGGTCATGCAGATTTGATCGGCGACCGGCTGTGATGTGAAGGACTTCAGGAGACCCGACGAGAGGGGCAAGGTTCAATTGCACACGACGGGTACGTGATCATCTGGAGTGGCGCCCGTGCTGGCACCAAGGACAAGAGGGGCGTACACGGTGTGGGCATAGCGATCAAGGAGGCCATGTGGGAGAGTGTGGGCGAGGAAGGTAGGACGGTGGAGTGCATTAGCCCGAGGCTGATGAAGGTGCGTCT